GATGACTTCTCCAGGTGCTTGTCAAGCGCATCATTTATACGCTTCCGATCCAGCGTCCCTCCCACTATCTCCGATCTCGATGCGCCTCCACCTCCTCGATCCTTATACATAACTTTCTCTCTCTTAGTTCCTCCTTCACCTCCCAATTTCAACCCAATTGAAAAAAAAATTTCAAACCTTTCAAGATACCCACATCTTCTAGAAGACTAGCAGATCAAAAAACCCCTAGATTTGTGAAACTAGGCTTCTCCAAAGGACGAGAGAGGGTACGCAGCTTCGTATATAGAAAGACGATGAAGGGAAATCGAGATTCAGGAAAAACCAATATTGAGAAGGAAGAAAGGGATAAAGGGGTTGAAGGAGAGAGAGAAAGGGAGGGTGAAAACTAGGGTTTCGGGGGGAGAAAGGAGAGATGCACGAACTCCTCTGAGGTGCTCTCTGTCTCTCCTGTGTATTGGCTTGGTGTTCCTCTCCTTTTTCTTTCATTTTCATTTTTAATAGAACAAAATTAAGATATTTTATGTCGAGGGAGGATTAGTGTGTGAAAAATTTAGATAAGAAAAAACATTTTAAATGTTATTAAATTATTTTAATAAGAAAAAAAAGTATGTATTAATTTTAATTTTAAAAAATAATTAGGGTTTTAATGTTATATTATAATTATTTTATTTAATTAAAATTTAATTATAAATTTAAAAAATTATCTTATTAAATATTAATATATTAAAATATATAATAAATTTTAAAATTTAAATATCAATATTTACTAAAATATAATTTTATTTTTTAAATATAAATTGAGTTTCCATTTTTTTCAAATTAGAACTAACATGCACTAACCTTTTTTATGAATCAGTCTCTTTATTTACTTTTTTGATAGGATTAATTTGATTTTTTTATTTTTAAAATATAAATTTTAAAAAAAAATTAAAAATTTATATAAATAATAATTAAAAATTTTTATTTTTAAATATATTTTTTTGTTATGTATTTTTATTTAATCAAATAATATCTAATTATTATTTATATAAATTATTAAATTTTTTTCAAAATTTATATTTTAAAAATAAAAAATCAAATTAAATTTATTAAAGATAAATTAAATAAGTAAATAAAAAATTAAAATAATATAATTTTTACTTTAAAATGTAGGTTATTTTTTTTATTTTTATAATAAAAATTTATTAATTTTTTTTTCTAATTCTTTACAGGTACCCTAATATACATTTTTCTGTTTTACATCTTCCAATTGCTTTGCTTTGCTGTGTTTTATCTTTTCTTTTGGATTCTATGGATCAGAAATGGGGCATTACCCACTTGGATATTGGGCATCGTTCTACCGCTGTGACAAAACACTTTTTTAAATTACTCCTATATAAATTTGTTTAAAAATGAACTAACTTAAATTATTAAATAAAAAAATTTAATTATTTTTATTTAATAATTAATATTTTACATTTTAAATTGTAAAATAGAAAAAAATGTAAATAAATATATTAATTTTATATTTTTTTATTTAAAAATATTAATTTTTAATTTTTTTATTTAAAAATTAATTAGATAATGATACTAATGTGATAAATATTAAAAATTATCATTTTAAAATAAAATAATTTAATATTTAATATTTTTAAATAAAAAAATTAAAAATAAATATCATTATTTAAAAATTAACAAATTAATATTTTTAAATATAAAAAAAATATGTATAAAGTTGACATCGTTGTCACCTTTACACCTTTACTCTTACAGAATATGATTCTCAATCTACCAACCATATAAGCCCACAGAAGTTAGTAAATTGGTCCTCGATTTTATACATTATCAATCACCATCACAGGGAAGAAGAAAAGAAAAATCCACAGGAACCAAGGAAGAGAGAGAAGAACCAAGATCGAAAATGGAAGATGAGGTTGACCTGAAGGTTAAGCTGATTCTAGCAGTGGCGTTGGGGGGATCTGTGGTGTTGCTTGTATGGCTTTACAATGTTATGGTGGTGAAAACACACAGGCTGAGACTGAAGCTTCAGAATCAAGGAATTAGAGGACCTTCCCCTTCTTTCCTCCTAGGGAATATTCCAGACATGAGGAGGATCCAAACTCAAGCACAGTCCCTTCAGAAAGATGACTATTCTTCTATTGCCCATGACTGGCTTTCCACTCTCTTGCCGTATTTTGGGAAGTGGAGAAATGAATATGGTAACTATCTTCCTTTTGTAGAGCTTTGGAGATTAACCTTATGATGCTTTTGACCTTGGTTTTTTATGGCAGGGCCAGTGTTCATGTATTCAACAGGGAACATACAGATTCTGTGCATAACAGATGTAGAAATGGTGAAGGAAATGAGCCTACACACGTCTTTGAGCTTGGGGAAGCCGTCTTACCTATCCAAGGACAGGGGGCCTCTGTTAGGTAAGGGTATTCTCTCCTCCAGTGGCCCTCTTTGGGCACACCAGAGAAAGATCATTGCTCCTGAGTTCTTTCCTGATAGGGTTAAGGTAAATGGAACTATGCATGTCCTATCCAGAACTTCAATATATTTTGTGTGCTGACTGAATAGTGACTACTACTCCAAAATCTTATGATTTTCTGTTAATTTAATTTCGATCAAACTTCAAAGGGTATGGTGAATCTCATGGCTGAAGCTACAACTTCATTGCTGAGATCCTGGGAGAGTAGAATAGAAAGAGAGGGAGGGGTCGTCGCAGACATTACAGTCGATGAGGATCTGAGAAGCTTGTCTGCAGATATTATTTCAAAAACTTCATTTGGGAGCAGTTATTCAAAAGGGGAAGAGATATTCTCAAAGCTTCAAACCCTACAGAAGGTCATGTCTAAGGGAATCATTGGAATTCCAGCTCTAAGGTATTTGTCGCTTTACATAAGACAATCACAAACATTGCATAGTAATATTCTTAAGTTTTCTGTTTCGTATGAAAGGTACTTGCCAACTAAAAATAACAAGGAGGTAAGGAAATTAGAAAAACAAATTGACACCATGATACTGGAGCTGGGAAAACAACGGATGGAAGGTCAACATCAGGAGCAGGATCTTTTGCAGCTGATAGTTGAGGGTGCTAACAGTTGTAGTGACCACAATGGTAACTCGTTGAATTTCTCCAGAGACAGGTTCATTATTGATAACTGCAAGAATATATACTTTGCTGGTCATGAAACCACCGCTATCACAGCATCTTGGAGCTTGATGTTACTAGCTGCACACCCAGACTGGCAAGCTCAAGCTCGTGCTGAGGTGCTTGAAACCTGCAAGGGCAGCCTTCCGAATGCAGATTCTCTTAAAAGAATGAAGATGGTATGTTTCTAATACAAAACATATAGTTAAATACTCATCAAGGTAGGAGGTTCAACCCTAATCTTTGCATATTATATTGCAGCTTACAATGGTAATTCAGGAGACATTGCGCCTATACCCACCTGCAATTTTTGTCATAAGAGAAGCATTAGAAGATATCAATATCAAAGGCATTTTAGTCCCAAAAGGCATGAACATCCAAATCCCGATCCCAGTACTACATCAATCCCCTGAACTATGGGGTCCTGATGCGAGCAAGTTCAATCCAGAAAGATTTGTCAATGGAGTTCTTGGTGCTTGCAAGGCTCCACAAGCTTACATGCCATTTGGTCTTGGCCCTCGTATTTGTGCAGGGCAGCACTTTGCAATGACAGAACTGAAGGTGGTCCTATCTCTCCTTTTATCAAGGTTTTCCTTCTCTCTGTCACCAGAATACCATCACTCCCCTGCTTTCAGACTGGTTGTACAGCCTGAACATGGAGTCTGTCTTCAAGTAAGAAGAGTTTGATGTCTATTATTGTCCTAGCAATAATCAGAATCTTAAGTCTCTCCACACCCAGCATACCATCACTCTGCTGTGACTAGAACACTGAATCATAATAAAAAGATAGCATGAACATTCCTCAAACTCAAATGATTTAAATATGATAGTCATACAGGGATGATAATTAGAAAAGCTGCACAAATACTTGGAAAAACATTATTGTAACTTTATTCTCATAACAAGGCAGACAACAAAATCACTAGTCTTGAGATTCTACTAAAATCTATTAAGTATAGTTTATGCTACATTAAAAATGACAACAAAAAATTCTGAAGGACTTTAGGAGAATAAGGATCGGCTCTTGTTGCGTTCCAATCGAGCTTCCCTCTGCAAGATTCAGTAAATTTTTAGACAATAAAGTA